ACGACTGTTTTATGCTGCTAACGACCAACACTTAGCTCCCCTATCCCTCGTTTTTCGATTTTGGGAAAATCAATTTGGGCCCAAATTTCGCATTTTTGATAAGGGGTACCATCATCAAAATTTTCAAAAAATGGCCAGAAATGAAGTTTTCCAGATTTGAATGCTAATCAATTGGGAATCATGGCAATCAAGTTACGAGCCCTACGAGGTATTACATTCCCCATTTGGACCATTTTTGGCTGTGCTATTGCCTAAAAACTGTTTTTTTGTGCCCAACATCAAGTATACGTCTTTTGGCAGCAGAGAGCACAGTTATGTTGCCGTTTCTTAGCTCTAACTTTGTCCAAACAAGCCGCACGGCTAAACCAGTGACAGTTTTATGCAGCTAACAACCAACACTTTAAACCCCTATACCTACTTTTACTATTATGGTTCTGATTCTTTTGGTGCGAGTGCTGATTTATGGCTAAAAAATCAAAAAACCTTTTTCTGACGGAAGAGATTTGCGGTTTTGTTGCCGGTTTCTTAGCTCTAACTTTGTCAAAACAAGCCGCACGGCTAAACCAGTGACAGTTTTATGCAGCTAACAACCAACACTTTAAACCCCTATACCTGCTTTTACCATTATGGTTCTGATTCTTTTGGTGCGAGTGCTGATTTATGGCTAAAAAATCAAAAAACCTTTTTCTGACGGAAGAGATCCCGGTTTTGTTGCCGTTTCTTAGCTCTAACTTTGTCAAAACAAGCCGCACGGCTAAACCAGTGACAGTTTTATGCAGCTAACAACCAACACTTTAAACCCCTATACCTGCTTTTACCATTATGGTTCTGATTCTTTTGGTGCGAGTGCTGATTTATGGCTAAAAAATCAAAAAACCTATTTCTGACAGAAATTTGCAATATTATTTCCGGGTTTTTAGCTCTAGCTCGGTCAAAACAAGACGCACAGCCAAAAGAAAGACTGTTTTGTGCTGCTAACGACCAACACTTACCTCCCCTATCCCTCGTTTTTCGATTTTGGGAAAATCAATTTGGGCCCAAATTTCGCATTTTTGATAAGGGGTACCATCATCAAAATTTTCAAAAAATGGCCAGAAATGAAGTTTTCCAGATTTGAATGCTAATCAATTGGGAATCATGGCAATCAAGTTACGAGCCCTACGAGGTATTACATTCCCCATTTGGACCATTTTTGGCTGTGCTATTGCCTAAAAACTGTTTTTTTGTGCCCAAAATCAAGTATACGTCTTTTGGCAGCAGAGAGCACAGTTTTGTTGCCGTTTCTTAGCTCTAACTTTGTCCAAACAAGCCGCACGGCTAAACCAGTGACAGTTTTATGCAGCTAACAACCAACACTTTAAACCCCTATACCTACTTTTACTATTATGGTTCTGATTCTTTTGGTGCGAGTGCTGATTTATGGCTAAAAAATCAAAAAACCTTTTTCTGACGGAAGAGATCCCGGTTTTGTTGCCGTTTCTTAGCTCTAACTTTGTCAAAACAAGCCGCACGGCTAAACCAGTGACAGTTTTATGCAGCTAACAACCAACACTTTAAACCCCTATACCTGCTTTTACCATTATGGTTCTGATTCTTTTGGTGCGAGTGCTGATTTATGGCTAAAAAATCAAAAAACCTTTTTCTGACGGAAGAGATCCCGGTTTTGTTGCCGTTTCTTAGCTCTAACTTTGTCAAAACAAGCCGCACGGCTAAACCAGTGACAGTTTTATGCAGCTAACAACCAACACTTTAAACCCCTATACCTGCTTTTGCCATTATGGTTCTGATTCTTTTGGTGCGAGTGCTGATTTATGGCTAAAAAATCAAAAAACCTTTTTCTGACGGAAGAGATCCCGGTTTTGTTGCCGTTTCTTAGCTCTAACTTTGTCAAAACAAGCCGCACGGCTAAACCAGTGACAGTTTTATGCAGCTAACAACCAACACTTTAAACCCCTATACCTGCTTTTGCCATTATGGTTCTGATTCTTTTGGTGCGAGTGCTGATTTATGGCTAAAAAATCAAAAAACCTATTTCTGACAGAAATTTGCAATATTATTTCCGGGTTTTTAGCTCTAGCTCGGTCAAAACAAGACGCACAGCCAAAAGAAAGACTGTTTTGTGCTGCTAACGACCAACACTTACCTCCCCTATCCCTCGTTTTTCGATTTTGGGAAAATCAATTTGGGCCCAAATTTCGCATTTTTGATAAGGGGTACCATCATCAAAATTTTCAAAAAATGGCCAGAAATGAAGTTTTCCAGATTTGAATGCTAATCAATTGGGAATCATGGCAATCAAGTTACGAGCCCTACGAGGTATTACATTCCTCATTTGGACCATTTTTGGCTGTGCTATGGCCTAAAAACTGTTTTTTTTTGTGTGCCCAAAATCAAGTATACGTCTGTTGGCAGCAGAGAGCACAGTTTTGTTGCCGTTTCTTAGCTCTAACTTTGTCCAAACAAGCCGCACGGCTAAACCAGTGACAGTTTTATGCAGCTAACAACCAACACTTTAAACCCCTATACCTACTTTTACCATTATGGTTCTGATTCTTTTGGTGCGAGTGCTGATTTATGGCTAAAAAATCAAAAAACCTTTTTCTGACGGAAGAGATCCCGGTTTTGTTGCCGTTTCTTAGCTCTAACTTTGTCAAAACAAGCCGCACGGCTATACCTGCTTTTACCATTATGGTTCTGATTCTTTTGGTGCGAGTGCTGATTTATGGCTAAAAAATCAAAAAACCTATTTCTGACAAAAATTTGCAATATTATTTCCGGGTTTTTCGCTCTAACTCGGTCAAAACAAGACGCACAGCCAAAATAACGACTGTTTTATGCTGCTAACGACCAACACTTACCTCCCCTATCCCTCGTTTTTCGATTTTGGGAAAATCAATTTGGGCCCAAATTTCGCATTTTTGATAAGGGGTACCATCATCAAAATTTTCAAAAAATGGCCAGAAATGAAGTTTTCCAGATTTGAATGCTAATCAATTGGGAATCATGGCAATCAAGTTACGAGCCCTACGAGGTATTACATTCCTCATTTGGACCATGTTTGGCTGTGCTATGGCCTAAAAACTGTTTTTTTGTGCCCAAAATCAAGAATACGTCTGTTGGCAGCAGAGAGCACAGTTTTGTTGCCGTTTCTTAGCTCTAACTTTGTCCAAACAAGCCGCACGGCTAAACCAGTGACAGTTTTATGCAGCTTACAACCAAAACTTTAAACCCCTATACCTTCTTTTACTATTATGGTTCTGATTCTTTTGGTGCGAGTGCTGATTTATGGCTAAAAAATCAAAAAACCTTTTTCTGACGGAAGAGATTCCGGTTTTGTTGCCGTTTCTTAGCTCTAACTTTGTCCAAACAAGCCGCACGGCTAAACCAGTGACAGTTTTATGCAGCTAACAACCAAAACTTTAAGCCCCTATACCTGTTTTTACCATTATGGTTCTGATTTTTTTGGTGCTCGTGCTGATTTATGGCTAAAAAATCAAAAAACCTATTTCTGACAGAAGAGATTCCGGTTTTGTTGCCGTTTCTTAGCTCTAACTTTGTCCAAACAAGCCGCACGGCTAAACCAGTGACAGTTTTTTGCATCTAACAACCAACACTTTAAACCCCTATACCTGCTTTTACCATTATGGTTCTGATTCTTTTGGTGCGAGTGCTGATTTATGCTGAAAACATGGCTAAATCAGTGACAGTTTTATGCAGCTTACAACCAACACTTTAAACCCCTATACCTACTTTTACTATTATGGTTCTGATTCTTTTGGTGCGAGTGCTGATTTATGGCTAAAAAATCAAAAAACCTTTTTCTGACGGAAGAGATTCCGGTTTTGTTGCCGTTTCTTAGCTCTAACTTTGTCCAAACAAGCCGCATGACTAAATCAGTGACAGTTTTATGCAGCTAACAACCAAAACTTTAAGCCCCTATACCTGTTTTTACCATTATGGTTCTGATTTTTTTGGTGCGAGTGCTGATTTATGGCTAAAAAATCAAAAAACCTTTTTCTGACGGAAGAGATCCCGGTTTTGTTGCCGTTTCTTAGCTCTAACTTTGTCAAAACAAGCCGCACGGCTAAACCAGTGACAGTTTTATGCATCTAACAACCAACACTTTAAACCCCTATACCTGCTTTTACCATTATGGTTCTGATTCTTTTGGTGCGAGTGCTGATTTATGGCTAAAAAATCAAAAAACCTTTTTCTGATGGAAGAGATCCCGGTTTTGTTGCCGTTTCTTAGCTCTAACTTTGTCCAAACAAGCCGCACGGCTAAACCAGTGACAGTTTTATGCAGCTTACAACCAACACTTTAAACCCCTATACCTACTTTTACTATTATGGTTCTGATTCTTTTGGTGCGAGTGCTGATTTATGGCTAAAAAATTAAAAAACCTAGCTCTGACAGAAATTTGCAATATTATTTCCGGGTTTTTCGCTCTAGCTCGGTCAAAACAAGACGCACAGCCAAAAAACCGACTGTTTTATGCTGCTAACGACCAACACTTAGCTCCCCTATCCCTCGTTTTTCGATTTTGGGAAAATCAATTTGGGCCCAAATTTCGCATTTTTGATAAGGGGTACCATCATCAAAATTTTCAAAAAATGGCCAGAAATGAAGTTTTCCAGATTTGAATGCTAATCAATTGGGAATCATGGCAATCAAGTTACGAGCCCTACGAGGTATTACATTCCTCATTTGGACCATTTTTAGCTGTGCTATGGCCTAAAAACTGTTTTTTTGTGCCCAACATCAAGTATACGTCTTTTGGCAGCAGAGAGCACAGTTTTGTTGCCGTTTCATAGCTTTGTCAAAGCAATAAGCACATCTAAAAGATTGATTTTTATGCAGCTGACAATCAGCTTATACCTTTGTATAAGAATTTTATACTACTTTATAATTTACGAAGCACATATTGATATTGCCGCATTGTTTGTCGCTTTGATACGTTTAACAAATTTCTTCAAACATTGACAGATCTTATTACTTACTGCTTGTTCCTTCTTCTTTCTCAGTTCTTCGTTCTCAGTTTTCTCTATTGCACTGTTTCGCCACTCTTCTTTGTACTCTCTTCTTTCTCCACTGGGTTGTAATCATGTGAATCCGCTTAAACTGTCGAAGTGTATTGTGCGTCATTATTTTCTTTCGTGCCATTAGACTTGAATAGTTTTTTCATACTAAGAAGTTGAAAAGAGCGCATAAAATACAAAAAAAAAAAAACGAAAGAACGGCTAAGAAAGCAACGAACGCAAATCGCATTGTCGACTTTGCTGCTCATCATTTGTTGCTGCACTTCTGCCAATATCTGAAAGTACACTGAAAAAAAAAACATAGTTTAGTCATTTCATTTAAGATGTTTGATTGGCTAAAGGTCGTAAGATTTTGGAAATAATATGTACTTGCATGGTTGTCAAAATAGTAATAATAGACGATTATTCTTAATAAGTAATGTTTGCGAAATGGATATAAATATTTATATTTATCATTTATATTTGAAAACATTTTTTCATAAACTGCCGATATTTTTTCTGCCAGTAAATTTTACACCATTCTCGATTTTGTGCACTTGTGTGCGGGTTTGCTGCGATGCTCCCTTGATGATGATGATGACACTCGACTGCATTTCCACTTAAGTGCTCGCATTTTTTTTTGTGCAATATCACACACTTTTTCATTCGCACCACTCATTTTCCGCTATCTTGATCAACGTGTGTCAACTGTTTTCCGTTTTCCGTTTTCGGTTTCAATTTATTTTGCTTTTTATATCATTTTTGCCTACAATTGTGGCCAATTTGGTTTAATTGTTTTTATTAAGAGTTCGGCCAGAGCCAACGGTCACCCCACCCTTCGCTATACCGCCAATTTCCAGTCGGTCCAACATCCAACAATGCGTATAAATAAATCACTTGTATTTTATTGAGCCTCGGCAGTTCGCTTTGCCATGGAAAATTGCATTTTAAATGCACACACAAATTGAAAATTGCCATAATACAATATGCATGTGTGTGAATGGTCGAACTTTTGCTTTAGTAAAACGTGCCTCATTATAGAGATCAATGACATGTCCCGAACAGATATTAAACGCCATTTGAATGTAAATTGTTGCTCTTTTCATTTTCATACGCGTTGCCAATAACAAAAATTAGTATTTTAATATATATTTAAAGTACGGGTAACTATAAAAGTCGACAGTTATGATTTTTTAAATGCATTTTTGCTTTTTTAGACAATAACAATAATTACTTTTCTTTTAAAATCATTAAATTTATAGTTGAATTTTGAACTTCTTTTTTACAAAAACATGATATTTATTAGACGATTTAAATATATATGTTTGTGTGTACACGAAGTTTGAGGACGATTTTGTAGATAATATTACAGGACAGCTTGAATGAATGCACGCCACCAAAAAGTCAGGCTGGAAATCTAGCCGGGACTGATTAACGGCTTTTGTGGTCGGGCTCTTTGGCCTGGGACTCTGATTGGGGATGTGTTCCGGAAGCGAAACCTGATGGGGATGGAGGTAAGGGGTCGATTAATTTAGCCAAGGCATCCAGCCTGGCCAGTTCCTTGTCGATCCGCTCTTTGGCCCGAAAGACCTTCGACTGGATATAAAAGGTACCGCCGGAGGGTTTTTCATTGGCCTGGAACAGATGCTGGTAATGTGTGTCGATCAACGCGCGGTCATTAAGATCCTTCACATTGAGAATCAGCTGCGCTTCCACCAGGCTCATCCCTTTGGCCAACACACTCCTGTTGGTAGGCTCATTGGCCTTCAACGTCTCCTGTATACGGGCCGCATCCTCGAATGCTTGAACTTCCTGGCGAATCGTCTTCATCAACGCTCGCCCAACCATTTTGGTGCCCAAAATTATGATCTGTGCTAGGTAACGTGCCATTGCCTGCTTGTCTATTAAGAATTTTGGTCGCGATTATTTACAGTACTCCAAAATCAAAACCTGAACATAATAAGAATTTAAGGTACTGCTTCTACTAGATTTGACTGCTGTGTGAAACAAAAAAAATCGATATTTTAAAAATTTCAAACAAGGAAATCATAGCACTTTCTGTTCTTAAATACAATTTTCTTAAGAATTTGATCATTTTTTCAAAGAGTATATATATTTTTCCAGTTAGCAATATCATAAATTATATTTTATTATGAAGTTCCTTTTTTAAAATCATGTTAACAGTTTTATTCTTTTTGGAAAATATTTTTCTAAGAATTTAACCATTTGTATGTACCAATAGATTTCATATCGATTTTATTTTTGTCTTACCAAATTTCACACAAAATTGATTCACTTTATGCAAACAAAACAGCTTTTGCAATTTAGCAAATTCCATTTAAGGAAATATTCAAAGGAGTTTTTGTTCCTCTTAAATGCCCCTAGACTTTTATTAAAGCATTTCAGTTTTGAATGCATTTGTTTTGATTTAAATGTTTAAATTGATGTTTTCATTTTTAATACACTTTGCCACATAACAGCACCACACCAGATAGACTCCATGCCCACTCAAGTATTTAAAAGTTCTAACTAAGGAGTGTGTCATAAGCTCACAGTGAGACAATTGTGGAAAATATAATAGCACTATGTGGGTATTTGATTGGTAATATTAAGTTAAAATTTGTTATTATTTAAGGTAAGGGATTTGTATTTCCATAAATTTAAAAATAATTATATATCTAATCTAATTAAACCAAATGGCAAATACTATTATTTTGACTTACATTGTACCTAGAGAGTACGAGAGACGGTGATAGCTGAATGAAATCAAAACGTTTCCTTGCTCTGATTTCCAGCTTCCGTATCCGTTCTGGAGGCGTTTTTGTAGATGCGTGTGTGCGTCGGGTGTGTGCGAAGCTCATAAACAAATTATACGCAAATTGACAGACTTCCGGCCTTATGACCAGGCCATCAAGCAGTTTAGAATCCAGTCTCTTGGATGTCACAGTTTCATTTTCTCGGGGCACGTACTCTCCATCCCTTTCTTTATATGCGGGATGTCCTGTGTGGGTGTGTGGCTGTGTGGGCGGTTTGGGTGACTATTAACATAATTACAATAATGACTTGTTGCCTTGCCCTTTACTGGGTTGTCCGGAATTTCGGTCACATTTCCATGCATACCAGACTTACCAGTCTGCCCAACTTGCTGTAAAGATAGAAATGGCAACTCTTGCCAGCCATCCGTCCATCCATCCATTTCCACCGCAAATGCACAACAATGGCTTTCTGGCCATTTGCCGTTAAAATTCACAAACTGTAATTGATCACATTTGCGTTTGTCGTTTGATTTCATTGTCTTGTGCGTGATACCAAGTCGCCCCTGTCCTCTCAGCCCATTTTCCACCGCCCTCGCTTTTCCAATTCGGGAGCCGCAGTTGATGGTCAGCGGCTGTTGTTGCCGCTGGTTGGGGCTCATTCATTATGCAAACACCTCCACATGGCTATCTAAACGTGGCCATGTCCGATGCGCTCTTCTACACAAAGAGAAAGAATCGTATGCGTTATAAGAACAAAGATCGAATAAAGCCTAGCCATATAATCTAAAAGAATGTTATAAATTAATTAGAGTATCTATAAGCAATTTTCATGTTCTTAACATGACTAGAAAATATTTGTTTAATATGATTTAATTTTAAGAAAGCATTATCTAATCATAGCACCTTGAACAAAACTTGACGTACCTAGCTTAAGAAAAAATACCATGCAAACTATGGGCTTCGAACAATTTTGAAACTAGCTTTTTCGTGATAATAAATTGGTCTCTCTGTACAAGAGACAGTCTTTTGCGATTAGTTGCCATTTAAACTGCTGTACCGCCCCCAAATTCTCGTCCGATTCCCATTCCCTGTCCAATTTTGTTTCCGAATCGTTTGGGGTTTTTTTCCGGGTGTTTTCTTTCATTCTTTTTTTTTGGAAATGGGCCTCGGTAGCGGACTCCATCCGCTCGTCAGTTGTGTCCGATGGCTGGCCGCCATAGCATTTTGATTTCCGCACTGCATCCGGCAGTTTTAATCCCCAGACAGCAGCGTTGTCCACTAACTCTCAGTACTCCTCAGTGCCACCACCACCATCGGTACTCTTCCAAGCAGGAAAAAAAAAGGTTTCAGTGCAAATGCACCAAGAAGTTGAGATATTATTGAAGACCAAGTAGACTTATAGATTGTCTGAAATTATTTTAATGGTCTTGAAAATCAGAAAGGTATAGTGCTCCTAAACCGTTTTTATCTTTAATAAAGTTGATTAAAAAATATTTACAAACATTCGAACGTATTACAAAGTTTTTAAAATATGTAAAACAAAATAGTGTAGCCGATAGAACCCCATTTTATAGAGAACTTCAACAACCAACAGCGGGGGGAGTCAGGGAAAATGCGAACAGTTCACTATTTACCACACACGCAACGTGGGATCCGCTGCAGCGTGGTGGTGTTGGTAAGTGGGTGGTGCTGGTACTGAGGTTGGTGGTGGTGGTGCTCTATTGGTGGTGGCCGGCCATCTAGTGATGCATGGCCATGGCCATGGCGCTGAAAATGCTCCTGCCTTCTGTCTCCTGTCCAGTTGGTTCGCCCGTCCAGTGTCGCATTCATTGCCATTCATTCGCTGCTGCCGTTCGTGGTTAGACCCACCACCCACTAGTCAGCCCACTGCACCACCACCCACTAACCCTCCTTCGGGATGATGCTTGCTGTTGTTGCTTGTGGCTAACATGCAAGCTTAGGATTTGGAAAACAATTTCACTGTTAGTGGAATGTCAACGTCAGGTCTCGCTCTGCCAACGGCTGCTACACCCCTTCCCCTTCCCCTTTCCCAACCCCCAGGCACGACCGGCCACCCACATTGGATGGCCACCCATCCCTTTTAAGCCCACCTCCCACTTTGATGGTCAGAAATTTTAGGCGCGATGCGTCGCACACATCACTAATTAGTGATGTGCAATAATCGTGCCAGTGCGTGTGGAGAAGGGCGATGGGTGGTTTATTGGTTCAGTGGGTGGTAAATACACTGAAAACACGTTTTTACTTACAATAGATTGAAGTGAAATTATTGATTTTGAATAAAACTAAACTGGGTCAGACTTGAATCGTAAAAGATGGCTACTGATCAATCGAAGGTAAATTTATAAGTTGAAAAGTTATAAAACTGCCAACATTTCTTGTTTATGTTAAAATGGTTTTCATATTATAAATTGGAAATTAATGAGTGGTTTTTCTGTGTGTACTTTAGCCGTGGGTGAGATTTCGTCGTTGGTTCGGTTCAAAAATTGCGACATTGTTTATCAACTGTGCGTGTCGTATAAGTTGCATTTGCTTTCGGTCGCTTGGTCGGAATGGATTGCATGCGATTGCCATTCGGGAGGTTAAAACTGGGTTTTAAGGGGGAGACGGGGAAAAAAGGGTTAAATTCGGGGGTGCCATAGGGCACTAGGTTGTGTGATTGGTTTCCATGCTCCAGAGGACGAACTCAACTGACTTAATAGAACCCCAGGAACTATCTTAGTAAATGAAAAATTGTGGGTCATCAAATAATGACATGGTAATGGAAAAATTTCTCTTGGCCAAGTTCAAAGTCATTTATAATGTAAAAATCAAAAAGATTTCGCAAAATTTGCAATTCTAACCGAAGATTTTATGAAGTTTTTCATAATTATTATGTCCTTTCAATATTTGAAAGAGGTAATTCTGACTAATTGATGTTACACATTTCTGAATGCAATACATGCCAGGCATTTATTTATTAGTTACCCAGTTATTCATATTTCTTGTTTTTCTGCATTGAATTTTAAGCCTCCTGTGCACTTTCCTGTGGCTTTTGCTTTGCCCGAATTGGGTACTAGGTTTTAAGGGCTTCAGAATATATATATATAAAAAAAAATAAAGTTCGTTGAGAAGTGGAAAGGTTATGGCAAAACGGGCGGAGATGAAGCCATGGCGTGGAGAAGCTGTAGCCAATATGGTTGCATTTAATTGACCAGAAAAACAGAAAAAGGGCTGCGGGGTCAGCCTAATTGAAATTTCATGTTGCAAAGTAAGTGAGAGCCGTCGGCTGTGGAGGATTCAAAGAGGGTGAGGAGGTAAGTTGGTACTGATGCCATTTTCCGGGATTTGTAATCAAGTGAAGAAGAAAATCACAAGTTGAGGGGCACAAAACGATGAACCCAATAAAATGTCGCCGGCAAATTCAATAAGTTCATTTCGAATTCTTTAAATATTATACAAAAAAGCCGATTTTTGAAGTTTTTGTTTTTGATTAACTTTAAAAAACAAGTATTCATTATTGATGTTTGAATTTTTAATAAATCTTTGTAAATTACTTGGCTTTAAAACAACTTTGGCTTTCACCACTGGGTGGGTATAAATAGAACACGTAAAAACTCAAATGTCTAAATCTTTTAAGGCCCAATCAATTGCTGTGACCAAACCCCAGCATACCTCAGATTAAATGTCAAAAGTCAAAGTCTATGTCAAATGTTTGCCCATCGATAAGCATTTTTTGTAAAAAAAAAAAGAGAATTCGGCAGTATCCATTCGTTTGACTAAATTCGAGTTTTTTGTTTTTGTTTTTGGCGAAGCAATTGAGTGACAGAGGAAAGGAATCAACAATGGCTCACGTGGAGCTCACTCGTCGCGATAACCAGACAGCAGGATCGGGATTGGGCGGTGGCGATGCGGATAACAGTGCATTGATTCAACGCACCACAGCACCACCGATGCAACTTCAGCGGACTGAAGCAATGATGGTGGAGCCAAATCGTTTGATGAGGTCTACCAATCAGCTGCAATCTGAGCAGGATCAGGTGGCCAACACAAGGGTAAATGGCCAGGAATTGGAAATAGTTTGTTCAGCGACATGCAAAAGTCAAGATCATGTGAGACCCAATCAAATGGTTCGCTTTTGCCTGCGCCTGGGCTACAACGCTCTCCTTTTTCCGTACGAGATGGCAAAAGTACTGATCCAACTCGGTCATGAGCCGCTCCCTGCAAAATCTTTCCATCTGCCGCTGCTCCATCTGCGACCACGTGTTTTCCTTCCCGGTGTCCATCAGTATGTGCAGCACATTCGGCGGGTGGATGGTTTTTGGGGATTGTATCGTGGATTACCCGCTCGCCTGGCAGCCAGTACAGTGGACTTTTTGTTGGGGGATCTTGTGCTGGCTATCCTGCACTTTGCTCCCTATAAAAGGCGACCCAAGGAAAAGCTGAGCCTGAAGGAGTTTTGCTGGAATCTAATGAGGAACAGCATCCGCTTGGCCACCGCTGTGGCTCTATCGCAACCATTTTATGTGATCATGGTGCGTCAGGTAGCTCAGTTTGTGGGTCGAGAGAAGGTCTATGTGGGAATCTTTGGTAGCCTGACGACTCTGGTAAAGCAGGAGGGATATGCTGGACTGTTTGCCGGAATTGTGCCTCGCCTAGTGGGCGAATTAAGCGTATTGGGCTGCACTAGCTTAATTAGCCACCTGTGCCATCGTCTTCTGCCCATGAGTCGTACCCAGCAGCATTACAATGCCGTTATTATCCAAATGATGGCTAGCATGTTAGCTTATCCCTTGGAAGTGACATCCGCTTGCATGGCTGGAACTGGAGCACCACTTTCCGCCTGTGAGCCACCAAATATGCCTCTCTATAACCACTGGGCCGACTGCCTTACCGATCTTTATGCTCGAGGTGGACACAATCGGGGAGCCCTTCTCTTTTGGCGCACTGTTCCTAGGATCCAATTGCTGCGCCATGCGGATGGGCACCTGCCAAGAGTGGGTTAGTGTTCCAAAAGGGGTAGGATCGGAAGAGAATGTGCAAAAGTAGAGAATGGAATTGTAGAGAAGATATTGTTGCGAAAATAGAGTGTGGAGAGAGAGTGAAGAGTGAGAAGAACACAAAGTACGGCGAGTTGCAAAGTTCGGCGAATGAAGGAAAGAGGAAAGAATAATGATCAAAAAGAAATAACTTTTCAAAGTCAAGTTAAGCAACCGAGAATAGAATAAAAACAAAGATTTTAGAGCAGATAACTAGAAGTGTGGACGAGATAAAAAAGGAAACAGGCAGACAGAAGAATGGAGAGCATAAAGGCGATCTTTGGTTAATCATGTTGTTGTTGATAAATCAACTTTCGATAAAGTGTAGGGAGAAAATTTATTGCCCATTGATGGACATAACATTATAAATGCTGGAAGTAAAATACACTTTAACTTGCATACATTAGTAATTTATGGGAATAGTGGTTTAGGTGGAGTTGTAATATTAAAGAAACATGTGATTAGGAACAAAGACAGCTTACACTAACTGCAATTGTTAAAGCCTACATTGCGTCCATGTAAAGGGCTCAGTTGGCTGATGAGGATGCAATGCTTTACAGTAGAATAGAACTCGTCTCTCCTACCCTTTAGCTGTGTTGTAGATTCGCAACAACCTCTTGTTGTTTTCGCATTCATAAGCTTGTAAAGCAGCAGGAGCGCTCTTTATCTGTCTCTTTTCACCAATGTTGATGCTTCTTCTGGTGCTTTTGCTGTTTCACCAAATGTCAGCAGAGATTAAGCGACAGAAATCCGGGCAGAATGGAACTAACCAAGGCCAGGACACATGTACGACATTCTATGTACTCCTTAACCCCCGACCCATATATGTATGTTTGTATACCATCCACATATATATATATATATATATATATATATACGGATATACACCCACACAATGAGGCGTAACTGGCAGATGCACGTAATGAAAATATCAAAAATCTACAACGAAATGTTCCAACAGGATTTTCAGTGGCCAGTGGCGTGCGGCAAGGGTGGTTGGGGGCGGTGGATCAGGTTGGTAAGAGAGAGAGAGGGGCGAAAACTCAGACACAATTCAGTTTTGGTTCATTTGAATGCGACACATTTGCGGGCCGCACTACGATGAGCAGAGGGTAGCATTTCGAACTCGAAGCCTTTGAAAACAAGTCAAAGTTCAAATGTCAGAGGATCTGAAAGGCAGACTCTGGATATCGTAATCATTTGCTACGTTATTTCTGATACACATAAGCAAAACAAATATTTCGAAAATGTTATATTAATATATAACATATGTAAGATATATATGTATATAATATAATTTGATTAATATAGACCCGTATTTTCAATTTATTCAATCTTAATTTTAAGATTGCTTATGTGAAATCCTTTTTAGTTTTCCAATATGTTATGAATATAAACTTTATATCACTCTCACAGGGTATCTTAACGTCTATTCTCAAATCTCCAATCGATTTCCGAAATGCCAGTTATTCTAGGTTGTTGCTATTGCGAGTTGGTCAGGTTCATTTGGGCCAGAGAAATCAAGAGTTAAAAGTTGGACCACCTCCATCTTCCATAAACGTTGCAAAATTACTAGTTATTACATGGCTGTATGTGTGTGTGTGTGGCTTTTGGGTGTTTTCATGACTGTGTGTAAGTGTTTGTGTGTGACGATGACATAGCAGTGGGACCAAGTCGTATCGTCTTAATAACCAAAAAATGCCATCAGCCGTCAGCCTTTGCAGGGCGAGGACTACGTGTCCTGTTACCAGCCTGCCTTGATTCCTCCAACATTCACGCATGCCTGCATAGATGCAGATATATATATATGTATATATTCTGGGATATACATGTTCCATATATATTTATATATATATATATATGGCAGGTCTTCAGTGTGTCTGGGCAACTGTTGAGCAGAACACGAATCTGTTGTTACTGTCGCCTGGCAAAATGCAATTAGACTAACGATGCAACACAATTTTGTCTTCAGCTTCATAAAGATGCGATGACTGGGATAAAGGAAGCAGCGATGGTGGGCGGGGCAGTTGACAGAGTCAGATGGTCAGTGAAAATCGAGGGCCTAATACTGAGTATACGAGAAAATGCTGTGCTGTTTTAGGTGTTTTAATAAGAAGCATAAATAAAAAGTAACCTCATTTTTTTGAGTTAAGACTGCTGTAACTTTTCTTATGCTAGTAACAAATTGAAATGGTTTACATTTTTATAATAGCTAAAAAATAAAAACTCAATTAAAAACTCAAAATTTTCTAAATGACCTTTCCTGAGGAAATAAATTAATTTTTACCCATTTTACAATAATATTATCATTAAAAAAGGTAAAATTTGTACCAAAAAATATCATAGTTTCATGGCGACCCTCGCACATCTTGCTGAAGTCTCAGGCTCAACAATTTCATGTTTCAATTTTTGTTCATCTGTCTGTGTGTGTGTGTGTAGCGGAAATACTGAACAACGTCATGCATTTGCATGAGTGCTTTGTCTTGGCCTCAACTTGCAAAGCTGCTAGTTTCTGGGCCCAGAAACTAATTGCCCAGCGTTCGGGCTTAATTAACATTAATATTGAGTCCATTATAAAGTCAATTATGAATTATTATTGCAATCAGATCAAATTAAAGCCACAACTGTATCCGTTTCAAAAATGATATGAATATATATTATGTGTATGTGTGTGTGTTCTAAGGACGGGAATAGCAAAATTGCAGGGTAAATGTCATAATTAACACAAGCCACTAAATGCATGTGTGCGGTTCTCTTCGTAATGTCTGTTTTTTTTCCTGTTGCTTTTATTGGTAACACATTAATATTAATGGTCAACTGTGTTACACTTAATAAAATCCCTTTAAAAGAAATGATACGGACAATGGAAATTCTGGTAAACAGACAGGCAAGTAGATGTGAAATTTATTGGACTTAAATTGATTTGAAAAATCTAGCTGTTATTTTTGGATAATTTTTAAAATTCTAATTATAATCTATTTTAATTTTTAAAACTAATAAAATATAAGGAAAATTCACTACTAAAACCGTATTAAATAAACTCGCAGTAAATAAAATATTTTGTGTATTTAAAACGATTTCAGGGCTGGGAACACAGATGGTTGTCATGGCGTTTGAGTGGGGGAGGTCTCGTTTTCCGGCGGTTCAAAAATATATTACGCATACGCCGCATGGGCTTCCGACTTCCGACAACAACGTCGGCGGTTTCAATTTTATAACGTTAAACCAATTAACAGGTTTTACACACACAGACACACGCATTTATGAGGTGTTAATCGACGTCATTCTGATGTAAAGCGCGATGAGAAACAATATATGTGGGTACACTCATACATACATATACATATATATATATATATATATATATTTTATGGGTTGCGTAATTAACGGGCAACAACAATAACACACCAGACAGCGACAGGTTAATGAGGCTCCATTGATTATGCATATGAGTTTTGCGGGTGCGTAATGTATGAATGTGTGTGTGTGTGTGTGTATGGGTACGAGGGCGGTACAGGTGAAAAGGGGGGGGCGGGGCAGGCAAGTGACGGCTTCTCACATCAAATTAAAATGTTACATATGCTAATGAAATCAACCAAAATTATGAGCAATTATGAATAGCTTAATGGGATTGCCAATGACTGGCATTGCTTTCACTTACCCACATTTTCCTTTTGTTTATTCAATTCCTTTGAGCTCAACCTTAAAGCTGTTTCACATATTAACTTTAAATAATAAGCATGTACTTTTGATATCCTGAAATGAATGCGAATTTTATTAATTAGATTTGTATTTGTATGTATTGTGAAAAATGGGACTCTTCATTCTTAGTTTTTAAAAATATTCTATTAACTTATTTTCTTTTGTTTACATTACTTTCCACATTGACAAATTTTCACCACTGGTATTTCCCTTAAAGCTGTTTTTTTTTTCAAATGTATCTTTTCTTTTTTTTTTGGTAGCGAGAGAAGGGAAGAAGGAAAAATGTGAGATGGGCAGCCAGGTGTAAATTACAAAACTTGTAAGATTTTCCTTGGCATTTCCTTTTCGGGGCGGGCAGAGGATGATGATGATGATGGCACTCCCGGCACGACTGTCGTCATAGTCGGCTGCCCAGGATCTCGACTCGAACGTAATGCCAACAATTACGCAGCTGAATATTTTATGAGCCAAGCAGATTAATATGAATATTTTATTATCATTTTAGATTCCTTATTTTCCTCTATCGTCTCTTTCTTTCCGACAAAAAAAAAAAAAAAAAAAAAACTCAAATAAAATAAGCAGCCAGAAACAGAGACCCAAACCAAAGGACGAATGAAAACGAAGTCAACTCAGATGGCATGGCCAGAAATATGCTTTGTTTGGCTTTTCTCTGCCAGGTCAGGCCAATTCAAAATGGGTTTTGATTTAATAAGTTTCCAATCTGTTATTATATCAGAAACAAGATAATGCTTGGTCTAAGAAAATCTATTGTTTTGAATTTTTAAAAATCACACAATGAATATGTAAAAAAGTATCTTGATTTTTTAAAAGTCATTCTTAAAATAAATAAAAATTTGTAAGATATTTCATTTACATCTCAAATCATGGGTTTCTATATACATTTATACAAAACAATGTTTTTTGAATGAAAAAGTCTTAAATTTACCTTTTTTTTTGTGATTTTTCCCCATAAACTTTTCCTTAAGTATTGCAGAGCATTTAATGCTCGACTTTTTCATGACGAGGAATTTAATTTTTAGCTGCCTAGGCTGACTCTTGATGCTGCTACAGTTTTTTGCACCTTGGCAGACGAGAATGTTTGTGCCGGCCCCTTCTTGCCAAACTGGCAAACAAAAAAGCGGCAGGGAAAACGAATAAATGAAAAACGCAGGACTCGCAGGAAAAGGCGGCAGGGAAAATGTGGTGAGAACGGAATTTATGACCACGAGCCTTCAAAGGGCCAAGTTGCCTAAATGTTTTTTTTTTTCTGTTGTGTTTCTTCGCCAGCTTCAGACAGGCAAATAAAAGCGGGCCAAAACAAATTGTGGCCCAGAGAGCTGGCCTCGTCCTTCCTTTTCCACCAGCCTTAATTCGCAGTCAAAACCAGAAAGCCACTTGGAAATGTGTAGGGTGCAAAAAAAAAAAAAAAAATAAAAGGAGAAGAGAACTTGAAAAAAACCGAAACATTTTCTTTCATTTGTTGCGTTTTAAATTTTCATGCGAAGCGAGTGTCGGCAATTACCAAGGCGTAAACTATATATTTACAAACGTACATATATATATACATGTATATAGTTCCAAATAATAACGTCGTCATGTATAAATTGCCTGCCACGCCTACCGACGACTTGGTGTATGGGTTGTTTGGAGGGCATCTCTGATTTATGCAGCCCATAAAATGGCCTGGCGTGAAAAAGTGGAGAAAGTCGAAGCTGAAGAAGTGCAGCAGCCATTAAAAATGGGAATGGGAATCGGATTGGGAATAGGAGGGGCGATGGGGCGATATTTTCGGCATTCTCAGGGTCTCACTCACAGTCCGAATCCAAGTCTGAAAATGGCTTAGCCTCGGCTGAAAGGAGCTCAACGTGTTTTGGGGGCCAGCGCTGGATGCCTGTCAGTTCGCATCGAGGTGAGTTGGCAAAAGGGCTTCTCTAATCCTGTTGCGTATCCGCCAAACGGAACTAGTTCGCCGTTATATTTTAGATAATATATATATATATATATTTATGGTTATCAAAGAAGCTAAAAATTACAAATTGTGATAAATAAATCTGCCTTATTAATTGGAAAACTACGCAAGGATTAGTAATAAATCTATAAAATAAAAGAAAGCCCTTTTTCGATTTGCATTTCTGGGAAGACATTGAACTAGTTTCCTGGAATCTTTGCCTGCAGTCCTGACTAGTTAGTCACGTAGCTTAAATGGAGTCCTAGGAGAATGCGGGGCCGAGAACCAGAGGCGTTCGTTCATGTTCATGTCGGTTGGCAGGCGGCATTATAATGCACTTTTTTCTTATTCTTCTTGTGTGTGTGTGTGTGTGTGTGGAAGCCGTCTCTCCGGCTTTGCCTGACACTCATTATGCGTTCGTCTTGAGCTCCGGACTCGGGAATCGAGAACTGGAGGCTATGGGGTAAGGGGACTACCGACTTCGGACTGACAGGTCCTGAATAGGCAACAGGCAGAAGGTCTCGTGCGATTTTTCCTTGGTCGCACATGCCTGACTGCACTTCAATCAAAATCAAATATTACACCCGGCAAAAATGGGAGGGCAGGTGCTTGCACATTCACTGTGGGAAAATTTCCAATAAAGGGGATAACAAATATTTCTCAAATTCTTTCATAAACAAGTCATATTTTAGTTTAAATGGGAAAATTATGGAGTACTTGAGAAATCATTGCTTGGAAAACCAATCAAATTAAGCTTATTCCTTAAGTATGCTTTTGAAATAATATTAAGAAATTACCTCAACATAAGACCAATAATTGATGGGCATACTTTTGTTTTCAGTGTACCATGTATGCACTGATGTTGGCTTTTGTTGTGTGCCACCGACATTCAGACAGATATAGCTGGCCATGGCTTGATTACGCACGTTTATTACTGGAAAAGGAGCAGGAATTGGAATCAGGATCGGAATCGGAATCGAAATATGCCATCAATATATATATGCGTTGTGTGGCTGGGAAATGTACAACATGATTACTTGCAAATCACCTGAATGCAGTGCGGATTATGAATGGGGGAATTCATATGTAGAAGAGAACTACATTGGCAAATGCAACAAGTGCAGGAATTATTTATTTCTAATTAAAATTTGAAACGATCGCGCCGCCGCGGCGGTTCATGAATATTAATTTCGATTTTAAGGCCGCAAACAATGCAAACTAAACATGAATTACAACTAAATATTTATAACTCATTTTCTCATAGACACACCACACACACAAAGATAAATAATAGACAAAGTTAAACAAAACGGATTTGCCTAAAGTGTTTGTGTGTGTGTGTGTGTGTGCTGATGTGTGAGTGTGCGAAATACACAAAAATTAACTTGTATTTAAAATTTAATTAAAACTTTTGCTGTTATTTACATGTTTCCTCCCATCGCTTTTTGCCAAATGCAAAAACTTTCGCCAAGGGGTTGAGGGCCCTGTTTGCCGTATGGGCGTGGCACTGGACACTGAAAATGCAGCTAAACTGTGGCCAAAAATCATAATGCATTACATATGCATGGCCATCGGCATACCAATTTAATTGAAATATCGTGCACAATTTTTGGTTTATCGCATCAGAGGGAACACACAAAAACAAAAAGAAAAATGCAAAAACACAACATCGAGTAACAACTGCAAAGCACCAAAAAAAAAAAAGGAAAAACGGACGGGTTTTTGGCCATGGCTAACTGGTTGTTGCGGTTTTGGCGTTTAGCATAATTAGTCCTTTTGACCGCATTTTACGAAATGCGGTTGATGCCTCAATGACCCGCCCTCCTATATTCCTATTCCTATATTCCCGCCCAAGGATGCTGCATCAGCATAAACAATGCACAATATGAGGCGTAGTAAAAAATTATGGCTTTCGACGGTTTAATGTTTCCCTATAATGGATACAAATCAGTCAAATATTATTTAGGCCTAATAATTGCCTGCAGTTAGCCTTCTGTAAAGCTGTCGAAACTTTTTAATTAAATTTCCTAAATTAGTCAATGTATTATTTTAGGGAAACTAAATCCCTTTAAAATTCAGCCAATTCTCTACTTTTAAAGCATATTTTCCATTTCCCCCAAAATGTATCTACGACTAGCAATTCGTTGTCTAAAATCAACGGATATCAGAAAGCTCGCCACTGATTGCTTGAATTAATTCCCTTTTAAAACGAGTGACCACTGTGCCCCAATTTTGAGGGGCGCTAATGAACAGTCGTTATATATACATATAATATATATATATATATAGAGAGAAAGAGGCCCCCTCAAAATCGCACTTGAAATGGGGTTTTGGGCCATGGCCCAAATGATTTTGGGGGCAACTTCGGGCCACTCGACTGACCAACCACGCTCAGTGCACTTGGCTATTGCAATTTATGGTAAATTAATTTGTAATTAATTTTTATGCGAAACGAAACGAATGAATTTGTATGGAGGGGATAGGGTAAGGGAGAAAGCTGGCCATATGGCCGCAAGCAGCAAATTCTATTTGTGTTTTTATTTCTATTTTACGCTAGTTTAGTTTCAATTGCGTCCAATTAAACATGCGGCCATCGCCCAACCACCGCTCAAATCCGCCATTTCCTATTGCCTGGTAACATTTAACATCAAATTTTACATCCTCCCAATCGCCACCGGTTTTCCGCTTTTTCGCTCTTTCTCTTTCCCATCCCTTTTCAATCTTCCTCCTCTATTCACATCACATTTCCATTTCCATCCAGTGAAATCCTGAGCTGTGAATCCTCTGCGTGTTGCACGCGTTTTGTGTTTTTCGGAAATTGAAATTGCATATTTAAACAGGCCATTCCCACTGTGTCCATCGCAGTAAGTGTATGTGTGTATGGGTGAGTGCATATATATATATATATATGTGTGTGTGTGTGTGTGTGTGTGTCGCCATCATTGTGGTAGGAAGCGGAAATAAAGTGTGTTTTTGTAGCTAGACCATTTCTAAGCACTTGACTGCGTTACGCATTCGCTTCTATAATTATTATTGTTTTGCCGTCCAAGGACATTCCAAACGGGATTACACTGAGAACAACATATTTTACTAATATTTTCAACAAATAAACATAACGCTTTAAACATAAATATCGGTAATCCTTAGACTTAGCAAACAAGTTTTTAAAGAAAAATAATATAAACTGGTAACTTCTTTAGCTTAAGAGTGCAATTAAGGGTAAGCCCTTGTGACCGCAATTATATCAAAGGAACCTTCCAATTACTTTCTGAGAGTTTCCAAAAAGTCATCAGTTAACAGGAAGTTTGGATTATTAGGAATTTGCCTTGGAGTCGTCCCTTCTTGTAAGTCCTTACCGCAACTCTCACTCCAAATCGAATTTGTGATGATGTTTTAAAATTCCATTTATATTTCGAGTTCCGGATATTGGCAGCTGAAAAGATTTCCCAGCAAAAAACCAAAATAGCTTTGCTATAGCTTTATATATAAAGAGGTTTTTTTTGGTTTTTTCATATAATACTTTCGCTTTTCATTTATTAGTTTTGCATTCTCCAATTTTGTTTTTCTTGGGAAACAATACCTTTTCTTTTTTCTTTGTCATTGCTGCTAGCCCATTCTATGCTTAGTAATTCTTTCATTTTTTGTTACATATATATAGAATTTGTATAATTATATATATATATATATATATATATATATATATAAATGTTTATATATAGTTTCTGCTCATTTTTTAAATTTTTTTTTATATATGGCAACACAATAGTAACTTACAGTCGTAGCAAAGTGTTACCGAGTTGAGGAATTCGTTTCGATTCCGTTTTTAGCTTTTTATACAAATAGTTAATGCTCTACACATAATCGGGGGGCCTAACTGGTCGGCTAGTTAGTATGTTTCTTAGTTAGTTGGTTGTTTTTGGTTGGTTGGTTAGTTGGCCCAAAGAAATAATTGCACAAAGTGTCGCTCGACAGCTGCGAATGTGGGAATTGAACGGATCTGATATATATATATATGTGTATATATGTTTTGGTATACTATATATTCGTGTATATTATACAAACTCAGGTGGTGCTAAGTGCTAAATGCTATTCAGTAACTTAAGTTCTACATTAGCCATAATACTTGTCTTTACAGCACTTTACAACACTGTTTTCTCTTCAAAAAAAAAAATGTCGTTTACATTTATATATATATATATAGATTGTTTACTCATTAATTCGAATTTGATTTTCTTGGTTTTTCATTTCTGTTAGCAACATGGCTAGTTAATCAATCAATCTGTTATTTAGTTTAACTCTAATGCTTGCCTTCTAGATTTAGTTTATGTTTTTGTGGCCCAATTCATTTAGCTAGCTTGTATACTCCATGACTGGTGACTAGATTTTATATTAGAACTGAAGATGGGATCATCTTTATTTTCCAAGCCAATTTTTTAGACGTTTATTGTAGGTTTTGTAGGTGTGTTTGGTGTGTGTTTATGAGAGGTTTACATATAGCAATTATATTTATTAGTTTACCGATCTCTTGTTCAACTTCCTGGCTGCATTGCATAGTAGTTTGGTTTTATTTTAGTTACTGCAGTTTTATATCTATATATATATAGTATGTATATATACAGGGGTGCCACGGAAATCTTTAGGGGATTGAAAATATCTTAAGAACATGTCAACAAGTTTGAAATGCGTTTGGTTTTCAATATTTTACCAAATATACTAAAGATCCCCTAAGAAATCTGTGAGTTCCCCTGATGAGAGTGTGGTGTATATATATGTTTGTATATATATGGTTTTATATTTACTTTTATTGTATATTTATATGAATATTTAGTTTCTTGTTAATTTTCTGTTGCCATTTGTTTATATTTTGTCTCTGTGACTCATTTCATCTATCTTTCGTTTCGTTTCGTTTCGTTTTGTTTGTTAGTTATTGTCCACCCATCCAGTTTACGGAAATTCTCTTATTTTTAACATTATTTCACTTTTTTGCTAAACTGTTTTTTGTTTTTTCGGTATCGGCATATAACACAAAGGATCGAAATCACAAATAATTATAAATCTATCTACTGGATGCATTGAATTGGAAATATTTAAATGAGCCCGGATTAAATCTAAGCTTTAAATCGACCAGATTTCCTGTTTCGACAATGCAACGGAATGGGACCTTGTTTATTAAATTATCAAGCTTTAATTTTCCAAAAAAAAATATGTAAGCCTTGCATAAAAAGTATGATAGACTCGTGCTTTTTCCGCGTATTCTGCATACAAAAATCCAAGACAAAAACGAATTGTATTTAATTCTCTCGCTTCCATGAAAAATATCCAATGAAATTTTTACGCAAATTTTCAGCTACTATTTGATATTTTTATATATAGATTTGTTTTGGTTTTTTTTTTCTGCTCTTGCTAGTATCTGTGTGTCAGCTTTTTTGTTTGTTATTGTTATTCTCCGTTCTATAAGCATTAATTTTTCCGCTTTTCGCATGCAATTGTTACCTAAATTTGTCCTGTTGTTGTATTATTAATAATAATGAAATAAATAATACAAATTGCCATGTTGCTGCTGTAGGAATATTGCAATTGCAATTGCAAGCCAAACGAATCCTGAGTTCGTGTTGTAAACATGAATATAAAAATTGAATGCGACATAAAAAATGCAAAATGCTTCGTTGCCAGCCTCAGTTGTTGATGTTTTTGTTGTGTTTTTTCTTTTTGTTGTTTGGTTTATTTTGTAACCAGTTGTTGTCATTATAGTTGTAATTGCTGTAACATTATTTACCACACATAATAATAATAGCCATAATAATAATTGCTTTTCGCAGCGATCCCAGCCCAGTTGTCAACGTATCAAAAGTCCCGTATCGGGTGACCATCGATTCGCCCGATAATACATATCCTTGTACATCGAGGGGCACGCATATTGATTCTATTTCATATATGTTTTTTTTTTTTTTGGAAGATGGAAAAAATTCAAAGCAAACATTTTGAGCTTGTAAGTATTTTTGGCAATAGATATGTTCGAAGAAATTCGGAAATCATAAAAAAATAAGAAACTTTCAGCATCAAATAAGTAAGAAATAAACTTATTAATTTTTAGAATAAAAATATCTTTATTATTTTTAATAATTAAGAAATTTTACTACATAAAACTTTTTCATATTTACTTAAACTTTATAGACTCCAACTTGTCAATATGAAAGAGTTACATCTAGTAAAATTTCTGAATTGTTAAAATTATCAATAATAAAAATCCTTTCATGCAGGTAATCTCAAATTGCGACAATGATTTTTCCTTTCATTAAAAATAAATGAAGAAAATATATTACTGCCCATGTAAATACTATAAAAATGTAATCAGCCCGCCCAAAACGTATTAAACATTAAAAATAAATGGACAAAAAAAAAAAAAAAAAAAATAATAATGGAGGGGTAAATACTATAATGATGTGACTGAACATAAAAACTGTGTCCACCTGGCAACTGTGTGGCCATAATGGGTTAATTAAAGCGATATTACACTCACCTTGTTGCGCTTAAAATCTATGTTCGTTCTTACGGTTCTATGATGTAAACTTTGCACTGGTCGCGCATTATTACCTAGTGGAGCTTTTGGGGTACTCTCGGAGCCTTGCATCAGTCGTCGGAGTTGGTACAACTGAAATATGAATATATATATATAGACATATAAATAAATATCTGGTTTAACTACCCACTAATTGATGGTACATTAAATGCCAAATGCCCTGTGCAATTTGTCAAGTGCTTAATTGATATGCACGCCAATTATTATACGGAGTTGAGTTTATGGATTGGAAATTTTATGAGAGTAAAACTGAAATATTTTCATTTTTGTAAAGAAATAAAATAAAATAAAAATATTTAACTTCAAAAGTAAAATCTAAAATTTAGTAAATATTTATTAAAATATTTTTAATATTTTTCTTTTAAAAACTTTTACTAAAAACAAATAAAAATTAAAAAATTTGTTATTTAATAACCTTAATTATTTCAAATATAATTCCATCTGTGTTCCCCATACAAACATTCCGATTAATCTCAATAAAAGGTTCATGAAAATCACACTTGTCATTTCGTTGACTTGTTTACATACCACTTAATGCATTTTGGCCAAACTTTTTGCCAGTCCTATTTTATTGTTTACTCATTTACTTTGAGTATTTTTTCGCCGGACTCTTTGACCCCAACGGCATGGCCATTACACATGTTTCATATGCATTTATGCAAATTGATTAAACTAACCAAATATTGTTTTTTAATTATGCACAGAGCGGAATATTGACCGCATTTCTACCGCGATCTGACCAATGCCCAAATTGATGAGCAATTTTATAATTGCATTTATGCGATTTCATTGTACTTCCAATCAGCGACCAATAAAAAAGGTAGGAGATGTTAAAAAAAAAAATGTAATAATAGATAGGGAAAATCGAATCGAACATAAATAAACCAGAAAAGTACAAGCCGCTCTAATTGCAATTGAAAAACACACGAAATGCATTTAATTATTTGTGGTTGGCAAATTGAAGAAGGCAAACTGGCACACACACACACACACACACACACTCACCTCCTGTTTGGTGATATAGATGGGCTTATTAACTATGATCCAGACAGTGCTCTCCCAGCAGCCCGGATGCGTTGTGGAGCCCTCGTAGGTGATGTAGTGATCCGTATTTGGCAGCAACGACCTCACCGATATATGTCGTATGGGCGTGGAGAAGCCTGCGGATGACGAATATGGTTACATAAAACACTTTATAATGCTTAAAGTTCAAGGTGGGTGGCCTCGGCTATTTATGTCCATATTCCCAAAAAAAAGAAAAGAAAATATATATATGAAAACACGTCTGCCGGGTGAATGTGTAATGAATAATTCAGACTCAGTTCTTAGTTCCAAGTATCCAGTTCTCAGTGGCCAACCTCCTGACCACTTCAACGTCAGCGCTCGACTTTATTCATACAAATCATTTTGCCAGCCGGAAATGAAGCAACTCGCGGCCCGTAGACCAAGTCAAATGGAATCCGGAGAAGGAGAAGGTTTTTTTTTCTTTTGCATAGCTTTTTACCTTTTTTCGCCAGAGTTTTTCCCTAGCGCAAGTGTTAGTTTTTACTTTCTGCGGGGATAATACTCTCACATCAATCAGCTGATTGGAAGGAGAGTATATCATGGGTTAACAGGAAATGAATGTGTAAGTTAGTCAAAGGAGAAATGTCTGTCTTGAACTTCCGTTGAAAACTCAATAAATATATAATATAAACTCAATCGATTACTAACTTTTACCCCTTATGAAATTGACTTCTAAATTGTGAATTAATAAAAAAAAAAACTACACTTTCAGTTTTAAAAGAGTATCTAGATTGTGAGTACTTTAAGCTTTTCATATAGTAGTTGCCCTATCCTGTAGTTATTATGGTTGTTCTTGCTGTTACTGGCAAGTGGCCTGGCATATTTCTTGGTTCTCGGTTTCTGGCGTTCAGTTCGTCCAGGCATTTTACAAATTAAGGCTGGGGCTGGGCTCCCATAAAGTTGTACGACCTGTAAAAAGGCTATTAAACTGGCCAAGAAAATGCCAACGAGACGTGCAATGAGTTTTCCAAGCTGGAAAGAAGAACGCAAGGGATGGTATGGGAAGGGGGGGAATTATTAAGTGTCGGTTTAGTGTAATTCGAGGTTTCATTTTCGTCACTTTGTGCTGGCCAGTCTCAATTTGGCACGCCCCACCAGCCACCTGACCCTTCGATATTTTTTATGGCCCACCTGGACATAATTATGGCCCACTGAAGTTGTTGTTGCTTTTGTTGTTCTTGTTGTTGCTGTTGTTGCTGTTGCTTTTGCAATGACATCATAAAAAACGGGGCAGCCAAAACGAAATGCAACTTGCAACGGTATTAACATTGCAACATATCCGGTAGCATTTTGCGTAGACGGAAATGAAGGTGGTCAGTAGGTTGGTTTATGAATACTGGGCTTTCACTGTGCTGATGGTATTTACTGGTGACTTTAAATAGGAGTTACTTATTGCACTAACCTCTATACAACACCTTGTTGAAGGTGCTCGTGATGATCCGCAGCTCCGGATTGGGTGTCTCACCAATTTGGACCATCAGAGAGAGGCCAACTATTCCCTGGGACTTGTGCTGCGCCTCGGACATGTTGTGGTACAGCTCCTTATTAAATCCGTAGATTTGAATCTGAAATAAGGAAATTGTAAATAAAATAAGGGTAGACATAAGCCAGTTGATCTTACCTCTCCGGGAAAGCTGTAGCCCTGAATAAAGTGCTCGGATCCGCGGACGTTCTCTGTACCGTAGTGTATGTAGATCTCCTCGAACTGATAGCGGTAGGCCAAAGGACCACCGGAAATGTTTACATGCTGCTTGGTGTCCTTGTCCACTCGAAAGACAAGTGACTGGCCGGTGTTGTGAAGGGTCCCGGAAACCTACAATGTATATATATATATATATACCATATAAAAATATATTTATAAGTGTGAGACAGGCTTGAGTGAAAGGCCTCAAATGGATATATTAAGGTATTAAGCATATTACGTATACGCACCTTGTGCTTGTCGATATGCAGAGGTCGCAAATAAGGATCAAAGAGCAGCTTGTCGGGCACCACATCGATGGGCGATTGGCGGCGTCCTTTGTTGCACATATTCCACTGCGGATTGATAAGGCCCCAGAAGCTTGGTCCTACCAAAAATAAAAACGGACATATCCGCAAAAAGTGAGCCAAACAATGATGTACAATGTTTTCTTTTCATATAGAATGGACCAACACCCTTAATTCGGGAAGCTTTGTTTTAGTATTTAAGGTTAAATTTATATATATTGTTTTTTTTCGGATCAAGTAAGGTTAAATATAAAATAATATAAGCATATAATCTAACTTAAAGTTACACTTTACAACAAATACCTAGATATGTTCTTGGCAACCCAAAAGATTAAAAAGTGTATTCCACTTTTGACCATGGCTATATACGTGGGTTATTGGCCCCCCCTTCAGTTGGCTGTACCCCATTTCTGGTTACCATTTCAGTTGCTCTACCCATCTATATGAACGTAGTTTTCAGTCAATCGAGCAAATGGAAAACGTGTCTTCACCTCTTCACCCAATGCAAACAGAAACAGAAACTGCACCAGGAACATCGATGACAATTCCAAATGCCAAATGAAATTTCATAAGCCCAACCCAACTGGCTTCCCTACGACCCCCTTTTAAATGCCAATTAAATGCATCCAAAGGTAGGCGGGGTGTGTTTTTTTGGGGGTTTTCGGCCTCGCTTTCAAACTCCGTTGTGACGGGCCGAAAACGGTCGAAAGTTTTCAAAACAATGCTACACATGTATATTGGCGATCTAAAGGGGTATGCGGTTAAAAGCGGCAAATGTGGTCTCTAAAAAAAATACAAATAAATATAGAACCCATGGGAATTAAGGCCTTTGTGCCGTTTGAAAAATTTAACATTTTTCTTCATGCTTGCTGAAGTACAAATAAATAAAGGCAATTAAGAAGGATTAGATAAGGTGGATATCGATGAGAACATATTATATTCCCTTCTTGTTATTCAATTAACATATTTGATATCTTTTTTTTTGTAGTAAGGCTTAATAATTTTTATTCAACATATTTAATTCTTCCCTTTAGTTTCCATTAGTTGATAGAACAGAAATGCCTCTCACGATTTCCAGGATGTGAATTCCGTTTTCTACAATTTGGTTTCGATGGGTGTGTTTGGGTGTGAGAATGTGTTTTTCCCAGCATTCGTGTGGGTGCTTTGATGAAACGCGACGGCAATAAATGCCAAAGTTTAAAAACTGCTCCGTGGTGATGCAGCTGACCTGCCCATTGTCCACTGCCCAATAACCGCCCACCTATCAGCCACATACTTCGCCCACTTCACCACCCCGCAATTGTCGCTTTTGTGGCCGCTGTTCATTTTGTGTTTTGCATTCATTTGTTGCTACTGTTGCAGTTGCATGTTGCTTGTTTCTCCCTTCTTTTTTTCGCAAAAAAGTGCATCAGAGGTTATATAGAAAAATGCAGACAGTGACAAGCAACAATTACAAAAGCAACAACAACATCATCACACATACTGGTACACACACACACGTTGTTTGTTAGTTTATTTGTTTGCTCTGTCTGGGTTTTTGTTGCCAAACTATTTGAAATGTAATTAAATCAGCCACAGCATCCGAAATGGTTATAGGAAAGTTTTACCAATTTATACATATAAAGATTTAAACGTTCGGCCATTCACATGGAAATTGTAAGGGTGGCCAATCAAGAAGGGGGTTAGCTAAATGTTTGAATATTTTACATAATTAAGAATAAATAATAATTGGCATTGAAAAATGTTTCGAGACTTTCAAGACATACAAGACCACTGAGTAATCTTAAAATAAGCTCTTAAAGTTACTTTTAAACCACTTACCGGATATGCCATCGTATGTCCACCACTCTTCCCAACTGGACAGGACCTCTGAAAGTAAAGAAAAACCAAAAAGAAAAAATGTTTAAAAAGACCAATCAAATGAAGAATCTTAAAGCGGAAAGGTAAACAGTCAAGGTGCCAAGGAGCAGCTTAAAGTCTAGACAAGTAGCAAATGCCAGCCAGAATTTTACTCTAAGGAGCAGTCAACAGTGAGGCTATCGAGTCCCAGTTCCCCATAGGTCCCCATAGTTCCCTTTTGCATATGCAAGAATCCAGGATTTTTGGCTGTGGATACGGATGCTACCCGCTGGCAGCCAAATCTCAGTTTTTCAATGCGCATAATTCGCTGCCAATGTAAACAGCGCATGAAATCAACTAATGTAGGACTTCCCCCCAATATTTTTCACAGACTAAGAGTCACCGGCGTAGTCAGACAAAACAAACACAGCGCCGGCTTTCTGCTTTCTGGGGGGTAAACGACGATGACTTTGGTTCCCAGCCATCGAGACGCCATCGGATCTGGTCGTGGTCGTGGTCGTGGTCTTGGTCGTACTTTTGGGGTCCGGCTTATCCTGCGTGTCGCATGAGTCAACGTCCAACTGGGCCAGAATATACAAAAAGCCAGCATCCCAGGATGCAAGGATACTAGTGGATGCTGGTGGCAACTGGATTTGGGGCTAAGGGATGAGCATGACAACAGCGATGTCGCCAGGCAGTCTGGCGCCAATAAAGTTTACACTCAGTTGCCACATTTCGTTTATGGGCAAGTTCTGCTTCCGCTTTATCAAGCGACAGACAATTTTCGCTATTTTTTTCGTACCACTTTTTTTTCTTTAGTTTTTCTTTTTTTTTTTTTTTTTGTGCTAGAACCCCCGCAACCTATACCCTTTTGAGCAGTTTGAGCGTATTCAAAATTTATGCTGTATGCGTCGTAACAGAGCTCTTCGGCAGGGAGATTTTGCCAAAAAGGGCAGGGTGGCAGGAGGTGGTGGCAGCGGGACGGGAGTCGGCAATAAAGCCCAAAGAAATTGCTGCAAGCCAAAGCGGAAGTTCAAAAGGGAGTCGCTGGAACCGTTACCCGCTTCCTGTTCCATGCCATCACTGGCAATACCCTGGGAATATCACCGAGCACTATAACTTTTGGCCGAAAGAAGAGTGCACTTATTTGGGTATTCCCTGGGTCATTCACTTCATTCGATATTTTCTTTCGAGTGACTGATCGTAGTTTAATAATATAATATTTAAAAATCACTAACAGAAGATAATTTAAGTATAATATGTTTTAATTAAAAGAAAAGACAACTTGTAGCCTTAATAAATTGTAGATAAAGAACTAAAGCTAAAAAATATTTTCATAAATAAATTAATGATTATATAAAAATGAAGATTGTTATTGTTTTTATAAAAAATAAGTCATAGTAACTCAAATAAAGAAGCTGCAAAACTATTATAGTGTATCTCCAATTTGTCATTTGATCCTTGGACATCCCAGGACCTTTGTCTCTGTTTGCTTCAGTTGAATTCCTTTTCGTGGCGTCGTGTTGCTTTTCTTGGCATAACAATGAACGTCCGTTTTTGTGAGTCGCGACTCGGCGACGTCACTTCATTTTGTTTGTTTGTTTGTCGCTTGTCGGCGATTTCTTTCTCGTTTTTGGCTTTTGTTTTTGTTCTTGCCTATTTTTTTTCTCTCTCTCTCTTATTTTCGTTGTTATTATTGTCTGCTTAGCGCTGTAAAGTATGCTATTAAATTGGCCCCTAAACGGCAAGTCAAATGGGTGCAAAAAATAAATGAAGACATTGGCCCAACTAGTTGACCAAAATTCTTTAGTACCCTCATCTAATGCGATTCATCAACCGAATGGGTGCATGGCACCCAAAATCATTCAGTTCCCTTCAAATACAATTCAGTCATTTGGTAAATTCGTTTTTATGCTGCAACAGCAACTTAATTTATTGTTATAACAGTTTTATTTCATCGACCCACAAAATTTGGGTACACTGCAAAAAATTTTAGGATTCATTTAGATGATTTAGTTAAAAAAACTTGAAAGACAATTTTAAGAAATTTATAAGAAAAAGATTAACAAACACTAAAAGCATTCTAGAAGACAATTCCTTTCAGATTTACCTAACTAGATGTGAGATTCTTTTCTTTTTTTGTTGGTGTAGAAAAGGGTGTTGGGTTTTATGAGGAGACGTTTTGCCGAAGACAGTCAGTCTGTCGCCACAATTGTGTGTATATTTGCGAGTGTGTGCGCTTTTGGCCAATGGTTTATGGGTTCCTGTTGGCCATTCAAATGGAATCTGGCTTTCGGGTTATTGTCTCTATCGTTCCCCTCTCACCCCTCTAAAACGTTTAGATATATATGTATTTGTATATATATTCCCATCTCCAACTGTCTATATTTATAACTATCTATTTGGCCTCTCTGGCATTTAGAGCATTTCTACCTTTGTGCTAGTTCCAGCTGCTTTAATTCGTATCTGATGCTGTTTATCAATTCCAGCGTCCAGAATTCGATATACGTATATATATATATATGTATATTGATATATATTTGGTGGATGTATAAACAGTTCATGGGTTTGGCGATTAGATGTCTGGACTAGCCTCAATTCAGTGTGGTAAATATGGTTTAGGGTGACAGTATTATTTAATGATTTCTTAGATATTTTTCATTTTAAGACATTCTAGTTAATTTTATCATTCATATTCATAAGAGAACTTGAATATTAAATATTAAATTTACAATAAAAAATCGTTTCTTGATTTAAAAATAGAAATATGTATTAAAACGAAGCTAAAGCTTTTAGTCTTTCCCTTCCTAATCCTCTTTATTTCCATGTCAGAAAATCGTTGCTTGTCTGCTAAATTCATAAAAAAAAATGTCTTCAAAACATGAATATTTTCAGATAATTTTCATTCTTTATTCCACCTTATAAACTGATTGTTATTTTTCTTTGTTGTTTAACTCTTTCCAACCTTTATTACTCTATCAGTAAGGCAATATTAATTGCCATGTTTTTCCGTGACGAAAAGTGAGTCACTTCCTTATCAATAACAAGCGCGTTTAGATGACTAAATTAACTGGGATTTCCATTTCGGTTGTTTGTTTTGTTGTAATCACTACTATACGCTGGGCGTTAAATCGGAATCAAGTGGATAAATTGAGGAAAGAGGAAGGCGGGTGTGCTTGTTATTTGTTTGGTTTTGGTTTGCCTGGCCTGGCCTGGCCTGGCGTGAGCATGAAAATGGCGTAAAGATGGAATGTTTGGCTATCAAAGAGCAGGGAAATGTCCTCGACTTTCGTTCCGGTCGCAGTCTATATAGCTTATATAGTCACGCACACCATATCTCGTGCGTGGTTGCCATCAAAAAAGGGACCAAAACACACCCCCGGCCACATTTCAAATGTCTAAATGAATTAAGCAAGCCAACAAACAAAGGCAAGCTGCTTAAGGCAAAAGGATAAGGAGGGGGTTTTTTTTGGAGGGGGGTCGGAGGCGGCGGGTGATTTGCCATAGCCCTTTTATGTGTAAATTATGGGTTCAATATAATATTGACAGTGAATCAATAAAGGAAATGTCCTTAAAATTAATAGGCGACATTTTGATATTGAATTACTCGCTGTGTCATCGCTTTTAATTAAAATTTCTAGACAAGGGCGCGGTATATATGTATATCTCTCCTCCATATATATATCCTGGCATGTCCTGGCAGGATTTATTGCTTCCTGTTAAGCGAACAACGCGAATCGTTCGATTAGTATCCGAAGCGCTGCTCCCGTTTATCAAACTGTCGCCTTGGCAGCCCCCTTCAAAATAATTGACGAGCATATAACTCTTGGGCTTCTTTTAAGCCCCAAACCTCTCAAAAAACACATTTATTTCACCCCCTTCATAAAGCCTTTCAGCGAGTTAATTTGCTCGCAAACATTCGATCAGATTTTCTGCAGTTTGTTTTTCTTTTTTTTCTGTATGCGCATTTTTCACTTAAATTTTTAATTTGTTTTGCGCGCTCGAATTGAAAGCTCACACTGGATTTCGATGGAAAGCGCATTAAAACTGATTAGCTGCATAATGTATGGTCGGAAAACAGGGAAAATAGTTCAACTACAGGTAGCAGAGGGCACAAAAACTGGGGGGCTTTTAATGTATTAGCAACTCGGCTAGGCGAACTGTAAACTAGCATAATTTAACAAAGGTTTTCCAAAATGTGCTTTTTATTTTGGTGGAACATTTTGTTTGCCAGCTAATTATTCTAAAAGCTTTAAAATTAAAGTTAAAGTTTTAAAGGAATTTACATTTTATTTAGTCAATGATTTCGGAAATAATTACCACATTATTTGAAGAATTTTGAAAAGTTTTTGAAAAATTTCCGCCCACCACTCGCTTAGCAAATTAACCAGCAATTAGGACAAAAACAATTTCCATGCCATTACATGATTCTTTTTCTAAATAGTTGGGAAAACTTTTTCCATTCCCTCACAACGCAAAAAAAGAAACATTGTAGGAATTCCGCACCTCATTCCTTTTTGAAATTTCCACATTTTTTTCATTTTGTATTTGCAATGAAATACTTTTGTTGGTTCTTGGCGCCAAAAATAAAATTCCCCATTTCATCTTCTGGGGTAAATTAAAAAATGGGTCAGAAAAATAGCAAAAGGAAAAAACCAAAAAAAAAAAAAAATAAAATAAAATAAAGACGAGGGAATGCTGATGAACAAAGTGAAGAGAAATAAACGTTCAACTCACGCGATGAGTTAACAGCAAAAGTTGATGTTTGTGCTGCTTGATTTGTTATTTTTTCGCATGCTGTGGAAATGTGTTTAAATGCTACCGAAAACGTTGATTGAAAAGCAATTTCATTCGGATAAAGATCTGCTCAAAAAATACAAAAAAAATATAACCGAAATGGTACCCAAACCCTGAAAAGAATTTAAAAAAGCGTGACTGCTCTTTGATTGAAAACAAAAACAGGGAAGTTGTTTAAGAAACTTCTTTTTTAGAACTTAAAATATTTTTTTTATATTATTTCTTAGTTGATATTTCATAAACAAATCTTCTGGCTTACCTAAATATATTTTTAATTTATCTTTAAGTTTGTTACTTTTTCAAAATCACCCAAATTGTAGGTCCTACAGCAGAGGTAGTGTATTAAACTCTAAGGCTTTCTTCCTGAGTGAATAGGGGTAATTGGCAACATAGTAAGCCAAAGCTCATGTTCAGAAAGAATCGGGGAGTTGGTTGGGTATTTTCCAGGGCGAGCAAATACAACGCTTGAAAACCATAATTTGGCTAAAAACCGTCTAGACATTTGCCGCTCGAAACTAACCAACTATCTTAATTTGTTGGTGCCAACAAACTTTTACCAACCACTGCACCGCCGCCGAATTTTTCCCCCCAATTCCCATAGAGAGTAATAGTAGTAAGGGGGTACGTGGAAAAGCCACCTGGAAGAAGTGGCTAAAAGAAAACCAAAGAAGAAGAAGGCTCAAGAGGAAGTTGTTGTGGCCGCCGTTGCCGCTGCTACTGCTGCTGCTGCTTGGCATATACCATTTCGATAATAAGCAACAGTGCATTTTCCTGTGCAGCAGGCAAAAAAAAGTGAATGGCTGGAGTTTGAGGTCACAGGTGAGCGGTCACAGGGGTAACAGGGGGTAGTAGTACACACACACACACACACAGACACACATACGTGTGCAGTTTTCGGTGGCTAATGCCAGTCACGTCAACGCTGCATGTGAAATCGTTTTTTGAAAACTTTTCCAGCTTGGCAACTTCATCCACGAATATCTGCGCTGTCTCAATTAGCGGCATTGGCCTTTAAAAGCACCAAAAGTCCTCCATATCCCTGCTAATATAGTTCAGGTCAAAAAGTTAGCACTGTTTAATGAAAGCAAATTTAAAAATAAATATAAACCTATTTATATTTGTATGCCGAGAGAGATTGACACAATAAACTTATTTATTTTTAGTCGTTAAACTATATTAAAATATAATAAACAACTTTTTTTTAAAACAATACCAGAACAGTACTATTTCTTGACCGTTGCTGTGTATTTTAGAGCACTTGCAGCAGATTGGGGCAGCCACTTAAACTGGATCAGTGGTCAAACGAGGCGTATTGCCCGCCGGCTGAAATATGTATTGGCGTCTATAATACGACAGACAAAAGCACAATCAGCTAAGCACTTCTTGGACAAGCGGAAAAGTACGAAAGCTGCTGGAATACGCAACCAAAAAAAAGAAAAAAAAAAAACAGTAAAACAAAACGCTGCCTTTTGGCTGGCCATGTCAAAGTGATTGTTTACCTCAAGGGCAAATTTAACACAATAATTTGCACAATTTGTCAAAACAACCCTCCGGCTAAATGGTATCATAAAACACGCACACACAGAAATACATATACACTGTATATTGAGTACTGCTAGTGAGAAAGTGTGTGTATGTGTGTGTGTGAGTGAGTTGATTGTCCTGCATGCATTTCTACCATATAGCTCGCCTTTGTTACGCCCCACAAAATGTTTTCCGTTTGTGCCTTTTTCCCGCTTTTCCTGGACTTTTTCCCTGACTTTTATATTTTTTATGGCCTGCCTTCTATGGAAAGGTCTTTCGATTATTATCAAGAGTGTTTTGGCCATATTCATATGATTAGTCGGCTTTTAGATTTAAACTGACCTGATTTAGTAAAAGCATTTTTTTGGCTAGCTCATCGTTTAAATTTTGGGTATAAAAAGAATTAGTTAGTTTTTTGATATTAGTTAAATGTTCTCTAAATTTAAGGCACTCAAGAAATACAACACTTAGAGTTCTTAACTGAACTTTCCTATATCAATTTTACTTTATACACTCGATATTATATTTTCACAATGAAAAACAGGGCATTTGAGGTTCGTTTTCTTTTTGTTTTTTTCGTTTTGTGGATTGATACTGTTTTAATATTTTCATATTTATGACTGGCAATGTTTTGTCGCCAGTGTCCCCCGCTTTTCACACCCCTTAATATTTCGCTGGACTCGTTTTTCAGTTTTGCACTTTGCAGTTTATGCAATTTCAGTTGGTGTTTTGTTTTTGTTGTTGTCTGACCGCACTGCCACTGTTGTTGTTTGTGTTTCGCTTATTTTTATTTGCACTTGTTTATGCTGCAATTTTTATAACAAACGCCAGTGTGTGTCCTGTATGTCCTGCGAGTACTGTATGTTCCCTGGCCACCTGACAACCAAAATAAAAACTCATTGCCTCTGTACCAAAAACCGATCTGTCTGCGGTTTTTATCACTAATGCGCTGTTCAATGTGTAAAAACATTATGAATATAAAATTTAAATATAAATATATATTGTACCCATCAACTGCAAAGCTGCAGTGCAAAACGACAATCAAATTCTGTAGGCCATTGCAGGAAAAAATTGTGTTGCAAAATTCATGGAATTAAATCAGCTTGATGAACTCGGTCTGTGCTTGGTTTTTATATTTAATTTTTCTTTTATTTTCGTTTGTTCCACTTGAATTGCCAATTGTTTTCGATTTTCCAGAAATATGAAGAAGTTTTGAGGAATGTTCTTTGAGTTATTTTAAGAATTTGGAACTATTTGGTGTGGGAATTATAGGAAAAATACAAGTGAACTTAATTTGCAAGGACTTGAGATCTTCTAGACTTATTCTTATGTAAATTACTTTACTATTTTCTTAAAAATTAAATTATAGAAATAAGTTTAAAAGAAAAAGCTTAAAACTAACCTCTTTTGCGATCAAATTTTAACATGTTTTTGGAAGAAATTAACAAATATTTACTACCTTTTTTTTTGCTTCTAAATTCCATTTACATTAAATTGCATTCTTGAGTACAGAAATAGCATTTCGTTTTGTAAAAAGTTCTTGGATGCTTTTAGGTTTCTTTTGAAAACTTTCCCACTGACATGCTGAAGACTAAAACATGTCTGGGCATTAGATTAGCACAAAGGAAAGTCCACATTTTGGTCGAGGGAAAGCTACTTGGGCGTTAATTTGTTTCTTAGCTGCAACTTTGAACTTGCAACATGTGGGTGGCGTTGAAGGGATCACTCCAAGCTGTTTTCAGCACATTTCTGTGCAAATATATTTATGTTTCCCTTTTCGGCTTATTTTTTTTTTTTGGAATTTTTGTGCAACAAAATGCATTAACTCAACTGAAGTTGTCAGGAGTTGCCACACACACACACACATAACAGGCACCTTGTGTCCTTAGGTCTTGATGTCCCTATGTCCATTTGTCCAGACCTTGACTATGTTATCCCCGCCATCCTTTTGTGCCTGTGTCCAGAACTCTCTCGCCCTTTTATTCTTTCAATGTTTGTGGCAAGTGTCGGTGCGTTTTTGTTAGTGGAAGGATTCGTCTAGGAGTCACTGGATCTGTAGATGTTGTGCTGTGTGTGCATGTGGCACTGCCAAAATCCTTTTAAACTTGCCTCGCAAAACATTTTACATTCGATGACGTTTCCATTGCAGAAGATGCAACGTCAACAATAAACCAGAAGCAGGCAAAATCAAATTTGTTGGTCAACAGAAAAGAAATCGAGGCAGTGAGTGAAGTGTTCTTATTCCCTGCCACCCTTTTAGATTCTCGATTCTGGATAGAGGGATACAGGGAATAGTGAGTCCTGAATCCAGAATCCTTTTGTGTTGGGCATATTTCACTTACCGGAACTGCAGAGCAGAACGATTGCTGAGCAAGCGATAAATCCTGCCGTGGAGCAACAGAATGATGTGTGGTGTCCTGGCGACGGCATTTTCAATGTGACTGTATGTGGCTGGGCTACTATGCGTTTTGGATTCGATTGGATTGGCCTATCTGGAACTGGACTACTGCTCCTGGGAGTTTCTCCGTTTCTTTTTTTTTTTTGTTCACCCCGTTTGGAGTTGAGTCGGCTGGTGGGTTGGATTGCGCACGGGTCTGCAGTTAGATCTGACACTTGAGTCTTGTTTCGGTAACTTTGGTGTTCACTTTCATCTTAATTTCCATCTTCATTGCTCAAAAAAAGGAGAGAAGAAAGAAAAGCCAAGCCCCGCCCACCGCCACCGCCGCCCACTGCCGCCTTTTGCATATATGTAAATTTTAATTTCCGTTACTTTCTCCGATATGCACACAACTTGCTAGCTTCATTTCCGTCTTCTGTTTTTTCTCGCTTTTCGCAATTCTTTTTCTTTTTTACCGATTCTCTTTTTACACTGAACACTCGAAAAAAATAGCTGTTTTGTAGGTTGCCTTTTGAATATAAGGCAGAGAGTGTTTTTGAAAATTTTATAGTCTTCGCGCTTATTCAAAACAACTGAAATTTTAAGAGGCGAAAAGACGCGCGTCCGTCTGTCTCTGAATGCGAATCGAAACTGAACGGTGGCATCAGCGCCAAAGGATATGCAACGGGCTTCTCGGCAGGCGCGCAGCAGCAGCAGCAACAGAACAGCGAAATCAGCAGCAGCAACGGCAGAAGCAGCAACGACGACAGCAACACTACCCACAGAAGCAATGCCGAAAGGATGTTCGTGCCACGTCGAAAGGAGACGAGAAAAAAAACGAAGGACAAACGACTGCCCGCCACACAAAGTAATGTTATTCAAAACACTGGGAACGAAAGGCAGCGATTTCTTCTTATAAACTTTGGGAAATTGAAAGGCCTTAAAGGAAAATGGGAACAGCAGTTAGTTTACGTATCTATCGAAAGTTAGCAATTTAGATAGCACATCATTTTAAAATATCTTTTGATTTATAACTTTTTCGCAAAAATAAATGACATTCAATACTAAATTATTTTAAAAAAATTAATCATCAATCGTTATTAAATTTCAATGCAAACTTTATTCACAATTAAAAATCTTTATTTTTGGGCATTTTCAGCTAAATTTAATGAAAATTTGATTGAAAATATGAAATTCGTTTTATCTCATTTATCTCCCAAAAACAAAAATATTTTTTCGATAACTAAGCCGTTAATGGTACAAATATGGAATGTAATACCTCTTTGTAATCGTTATTAAATTTCTATAAAAACTGCATTCACAGATAAAAATCTTAATTTTTGAAATGCAAAATTTGGTTTCTCCCATTTTTCTCCCAAACACAAAAGTATTTTGTTAATAACTTAGCCAATAATAGCCCGAAAAAGAAATGTCATACCTCGTTGTAATCGTTATTAAATTTCCATAAAATCTGCATTCCCAGTGAAAAATTTTAATTTTTTGGGCATTTTTAGCGAAATTTAATGATGTTACCCCTTATCGAAAATGCGAAATTTGATTTGATTTATTATTTAATCGTACTAATTGTCCAAATATGGAATGTAATACCTTGTTGAGCTTGTTTTCTTATTCCTAGTCTATCTGTGTTCAAGCTTGGAAAGTCATTTTTCTTTAGAGTTTTTCGCAAGAATATAAAGTTGTCAAGTTAAAAAGAATTTTACAAGGATAAGCTCTTTCTGTGCTGGTCTCACATAAAGAACATCTCTTCCCACTAAGCCTTCTAACTCTTATACGAGAAACTCTTCTAAATTCCGAATTGATGGTCTAACTTCGTTGCAGGACACGAGGTCCTTGCGTCGCTGCCGACGCCTGCGCGACTTTTGGGCGACGAATCCCGCGGATCCAGCGAATTACAACGCTTGCCAGCCACGTGCAAGGCTCTTCATTTGTTGTTGCTGTTATTGTTGCTCTTGCGATTGTCCTGTGTTATGGTTTCGTCCTTTTTTTCTTAATTTTTTTTTTCCTTTTTTGCAGTCCTTGCTGCTGGCAATCAGCGAAACGTTACGTGCGTTGCCTGTTTTTTTTTATGTTTTTGTGCAGTTCCAGGACGGGTTTCTTATCAGTGGCAAGGGGGAAGGAGCTGAGAGCGGGGCGAAGAGATATGGAGCCTTCGACCACGAGGAGTCCTCGGATATTGTCGGGCTGGGTTCTGGTTTCTGCTTGGCAGCCGGCGTTGATATAAATTCTTATTGGCGCATTACAAATTGCCGTCTTGCCAGGAGATGTATGTGTTAGTGTCTGTCTGAGTGTGAGTGTGTGTGTGTGTGTGGGAAAGTCCTTGCACATAATGTAATCTCCTTACATAACACAAGACATAAACAGTTTTTCTTCACTTCGCGACAGACAACGGATTCGGTCCTTTGTTTTGCGGTAATTAGATTTCCACCTCATTTGCATACAAATGAAAGCGAATCCATGAATGGCGAATCAACCTTTTCAACACAAGCATGCATAAATTAGTGGAATAAAATATATATATATAGATTTCAATATATATTTAGTTGATGAGGCCTTTGTAGATTTATGTGCATTGCGATAACATATTAATGCTGACAAACCAGGCGTTACACAGTTTTCATTTTAACAGTCAATTTTACGCATTCCCATCGATTTAAAGTTTTTTGTTGGCTAATCCATAAAATCGCTTTCACCGCTAATTCAATTCAAATGTCTCGCTGCATTATTAACAGCATTTCAATCAAAGTCAGTCAGCAATCAGCAAAAGTGGCAAAGTCGGAACATCGGTGGCAGGCAGTTGGCTGGCAGTCTTAACCCCACAATTCACACCATCTACCCTCTGCTGCACTTTCCTCTTGTCTGTTCGTCAACGCACTGGAAGCCAATCACTTGACATTGCAATTGAATGCGAAGGCAGCCCAACAAAAGCAATGGCGCCAACTAACAATAACAATAGCGAATAAAAAAAAACGTAATTGCTTTCAATCCGATTTTGATAATACCCTGTCAAATTTCTACCAATTTAATTATAACAAAAATAATAATAATCTATTATATTATAATTTGTTAGATATATGTACATCTAGCTTAAAATAATATCAGTGTAGCTCTACAATTATTATTATTGATTTAATAAATTAAATTTGAGTTATTTATGTCCTCAAAATGTTATGTATAAAGATTATTAAACAATTTTTTAAAAGCAGAAATAATAAGTATTTGAGAGGGAAATTATCATGATGATCGGATCACATTGTATTTGGGATGCTGTTGCTCATGTAATTGGCAGACATATTCGGAATTGATTAAGGCCAGCCCCAAAAAAGTATGCAACGCAGTTTGCCGCTTGCTCAGTCACACATACACCGCTAACAAACACTTACACATACAAGGACATGCACTTTCAGATTCACATTCACATTCACATTTACACTTTCACATTGCACATTGCACATTGCAATTGCAGGCAATGCAATTGAATTCGTGGCAGTTTTAATGTAATTAGTTTTTACACCTTGCCAAACCGAATGAGAGACAGACAGACATAGCGAATTGAATGAGCGTGGGTTGAATGGGGGTTATGGTGGTGATAAAGGGTGGGTTGAATGGGTGGATGGGTTCAGTGGGTGGGCTGGCACAGACATTGCGCATTTTCTAATTAAAAACGCCAACGGCAATTGCCATTGGCCTGCGACCCAAGAGCAGCAGCATCACCATTGCCATGGCATTTCCGTGTCCCTACGTTTTCCCCCATCCCATTTTGTACAAACTATCCAGCCACCCACCGTTTTCCACCTCATTTCTCCTCTTTCCTCGACTCCCCTCTACGACAGGAAACGGCGGCTAATTGGCAACAAGACAAATCGCTGTGGCAATTTGCTGAGAATTATGCGACAAGATCAATTTGGCCATTGAATTGAATGTGAATTCCGGATAGCAGGTTCAAGGTCTGCAATTGTTGTAAATTTCTCATCTGGCAAAAATAGGAAACTAATAATGAGAATAAGGAAAGCTCTCATAAAACTTTTACGGCATTTTCGGTTCACGCCTTTCGCAAGTGGGGTGTGATTTGAAATTAATATAACTAAAAGGTTTTACGGCGCCGCATTCAATCGCTCTATCATGGGCTTCCCATTTTTCTGTCCCTCTCTCTCTCTATATATATATATTTTTTTTATTGATTTCCACTCTGCGCTGCTTCGTTATTTTCCAGATATATATATATATATATATATATATATTTACTTGTTTGTTTGTGTGTAGTTTTTCTTTTCGCGGAAAAGCAGCACTTTTCCGTTAACACGCCCTTCTTCCGTTTTTATTCCGCCAGCGGATCCGTTCCATTCCGTTCCGTTTCATTGCCGGCGGTGCGTTTAGTTGGTTTTTGCCTTTGACGTTGCCGCTCCATGCGGAAGTGGAGATGTACTAGTGTGAGTGCGGTCACACACAAACATACCTCCTGACGGATAAAGCCCAGCTTTAACCCTTGGGCGGTCAGTCAGTGCAATCGGAAAGTGGACAGCGTTGCTCTCGAATGAACCGCAAATTAAATTGGAACTTCAATACCAGGCGCTGGCAATTCATTTAGTGTTTGATTGACCCTAAGGGATGCAGATGGCTTATTAGCAACACTTAAGGTGTTACTAGCTGGGAAAACAGCTACTTTAAATACCTACAGAAAGGTTGACTTGTTGAAAATTGATATATAGGGTAAATATAGTTAGTCTTAGTTAGTTAGTCTAAGCTCAAGAGTTAACTGATGATGTCGACTCAACTTTCATTTCAAACATATTCAATATAAAGCATCGAAATTGTTATTTATTTATTTATGCATTCCGCTGAGACGATCCAACACATTTCTTGGCATTTATATTTATGCTAGATGAAAAGCCAGTCGAGTGAACAACCTTTTCCGCTATCAACTGACAACGATGTACTGCAGTTCTCCTTAGATGTCCTAGCATATCCTGTCCACCTGCTGCTTCCCTTTTAATTCGGTTTACACAAATATTTCCGTTTTAGTTTAAAGCGCCATATCCGTTTTCCATTTTATTCCCCGAAGTGCAACACAATCTGATCGATTTTGCTTGCTGTTGTTGTTGTGTCGCGTGTGTGTGTGTGTGTGTGTGTGTGTGTGGCCTTCAGGTGTAAACATTATCTGCATTTTCACGCTCCAAACAGAAATTTATTGCCGATGCTGGGGAAAATTCTGTTCTTCGGGTTGTGGGTGGTAAGAAAATGGTGTTGGTGTTGGTGTTTGGTGGAAAACCAGCCATATCCTATCTTTGTGGTCTGGGCAATAGGAGAGCAACTTTATCGTTGCAATTGCGTCTCATCTTCCAGCACTTGACTGTTGCTCTCTCTCTCGTTCTAGTACTGTTTGTGTGCATTACGCTAAATTACATTTTGAATATTGAATTGACGCTACTGCTAACCTGACCTTACCTCATACATCCCAGCCCCCCTTGTTCGACCCCACCTGTCTGGGAAATCGAATTCGTTTGTTGCATTTCTTCAATTGAATTTTTGCGGTTCCTCCGTCGTCGTCGTCGTCGTCGTCGTCTTGGGTTCACCTTTCACCTAAAAACCTCTCCTTCTCTCTCTTTCTCGGCTCTCTATTTCCCTGGACTCCTTCTGCT